TCTCTCTCTCTCTCTCTCTCTCTCTCTCTCTCTCTCTCTAGGGGGCACGTACATATGATTTTTTTTAATTTTTTTTCCTGCGCACAGGGCGCATCTGCCTCAGCGTGCGCACCGCACTGCGTGCGGCGCATGACGCACGACGCACTGCGCACGCTTCGGGGCAGGTGCGCACAGCGCACAGCGCGCCGCACCGCACGGCGCACCGCACCAGTGCGCCGCAAGTATGCTTATAAGTTATTACCGCACAAGTTATTAGGCTATAGCAAAACGGTATATGCTGCGCTTGTAATTGCAATGCTTGGACTGTTTGTTGTCGTGGTGGATGCCTGTTGGGAATGGATAACAGTTGAAAAAAGAAAAAGTAAAAAATCCCAAAATTTCACAATTTTTTTATACAATTTTGAATTTTCTGCATTTCACTTTCCAGAAAAACAATAAAGAATTTAAGTTTTGCCAACAGAATATGCACTCGTGTCAAGTGCTTAACACATTTCTCTTTCCACTGTGAAGAATGCAGATCAGACACTAAGTATCAATCGAGTACTGCTGATCATCAATTTAAGTGTTCAATCCCTTCTTCTGCAAGTTGTATCATTATGACAGACTGGCTCACCCACCTCCCTTGTACAGCTCAGGCTGTAGCTCAAAATTCAAAAATTGGTCATCTGTGGAAAATCTCATCCAGCTCCTCTCATTACGTCTCCCTCCCTACCTCCCTGTCCGTCTGCTTATTGTTGCTTATTTCCCTGCCCATTCCCTCCCTATCTCCTAGAAACCATACCACCCAGGGGATTGACTGCGCAGGCTGTAGGAAAATATCAAAATGCAGCCAAACAGCTGAACCAGACAATCGTTAGTGTTTAATAATGGAGTGGCTGTTCAGAACCGAGGCCAATGCTTCATGAACGGTCTAATATGTCACGTACCATTGATTGCCCCCGACTTGAGCACCCGCTTCCCGGGTGTGGGAAGAATTGATCCAAGCAATGGAGACACAGAGTAATGCAGACTGGAACGGTGTCAAGAAAACGATGCAGAACAACCCAGAAAAAGCCAGATATCGTACACAAGTACTTCGCAGGGGGGCTGGGCCCCGGAAGAATTGGCCAAATAAACATAGGGCATGGTTACGGATTGCCGCATCAACTCACAACTGCTGGAAACCGGGTCCAGCATCCCTTCAGGAAACTACAAGCTGAGCACCATAAGTTGTCCGTTGGTCTTCTTGTAGCTTGCCCCAGCAGGAGTGCATTGTGAGAAAATCAGTTGTTCAAAGTTCGAACTTCAAACCATCCTTTCTGCTCTGCTTTGCAAGTCCTCCTTAGTTGTCAGTAGCTTCACTGGGTGCTCTTCAGTTAATCGGCAACTTTATCCATTTTCACTTGCTCAGGTGTCTTTCAAGTACCCTAGGCGGATCTGTGTATATGGGACAGAAGTGACAGTGATGCAGCAGAAAACGCGACCAAAGGACTTCAGCCATTGTATATTAGAGGAGATCATGCTGTTGAAGGATGTGCCGTTCGGTGATTATTTCCAGGTATTGATGCTTTCCTTCCCTTGCTCTTTGACGATCTTATGTCCTCTACCCTGTTCTTTCTTGTCTTTCTTCTGTTACTCAGACCCTTTCGATCCTAACCTTTTGTCTCTTGATGTTCCTATTCTGGCTCCTCGCCCGTTTATTCAATGCTTGTCCCTAACTGCTCATTTTTGGCCCCACTTCCGCTCTGAGCTCCTGCAAGCTACTGCGGGATTCTCAAGTACCTATCCTCGGCACAATTGGTGGTTGGCCATCAGAACTTATTTTTGTGCCTGCATGTTGAGAAGTAGGTACCTTATCTCCTATATATCGTTCCTTGCTCATTTTTGGCCCCACTTCCGCTCTGAGCTCCTGCAAGCTACTGCGGGATTCTCAAATACCTATCCTTGGCACAATTGGTGGTTGGCCATCAGAACTTATTTTTGTGCCCGCATCTTGAGAAGTAGGTACCTTATCTCCTATATATCGTTCCTTGCATCATCGTAGCTTCCTGATTCATGCCTGAGAGGCAAGAGAAGTGGAGGAAGACAGGAGAGTTACAGGGCAGGAGGGGAGTGGGTTTGTTGCGCAATTATGACAATACCAATTATGCCATGATATACTCCCCAGCTACCCTGAGGCTCTGGCTATATGTGGCATGGCATGCTGAAGGCCTTCCACACCAGGCCAGAAGCCCGGGCATATCGTAGGGCGCGCCTTCGGCCACCTAGACTTTTGCCAAGATACCTCAGCCGACTTGGAGGGCCTTGGCGAATGGGGTTTTAGGATGCTGTGTGAGTATTTCGACTGTCCTGAGCCCAGGGGTGTGTATGTGTGTGTGTGTGTTGTTAAAGCACCCCAAATTCTCTCTCTCATTTCCTCCACAAATCATAACAAACCATCCGTAACGAAAAAGTATAGATAGACAATATAATAGAAAATGCAAGGTTGGCCACGTTTGTGTGGTTCAGCGCCAAGTGCCCACACACCTGTCTGCCGCCGAAGCGGCACACTTGCACGTGTGTGTGTGTGTGTGTGTGTGTGTGTGTGTGTTGCCTGCTCTCAGTTCAGGCTCTCCAGTTTGCTTTGCTTTCAAGTTCAGGCAGGCGCGTGAGTATTTTGTCAACTCTGAGTCCAGGCATGTGTGTTTTTTGTCTGATTCTCAATCCAGTTTGCTTTGCTTTTGATTTCAGGCCGGCCTTCGAGTATTTTGTCGGTTCTGAGTCCAGGCGTGTGTGTCATTTGTCTTTTTTCAGTCCAATTTTCTGTGCTTTGATTCTAAGCAGCTGTGTTAGTGCTTTGTCTGTTCTGAGTTCAGGGGTGGGGGCATTTTGTTCGTTCTCAGCCCAGTATCACGTTTTGCTGGCCGAGCTCATTTTTGAAGCTGACCCTGCGTCCGATTGTTGTGTCAGGGCGTTTTTCTTTTCAGGCCATCTTGCTGACAGCTAGGGAGGGCCTGTACATGAGCAGGACCGAGGCCACACATTCTTGGGTCTGGGCCTGTGTTCCTGGCCACGCAGCCACACACTGAGATTGGACGGCCCAGATGGAGGCTGACTTCAGTTGGTGGCCGGCCCAGTAGTTGGTAGGCAGTTCTCACTTCATTCACGTGCCACCAGGCTGCACGACTTGGAGCAGCCGAGCGATGGTGGAGGCAGGAGGAGCTTAGTGTTAGAGAAGAGAGTAGAGCTGCAGAGGTAGAGTGGAGAGATGAGGTGAGGTTGGAGGAGTTCACTCACCTGTTGCAATACCCTGGAGGTCTGCCGGCAGCCATAACTGGCCTTCTTCTTCAAGATACCAGCAGTGCATGAGTGGCCCGAGGCTCGTCCTTTCACCAGTCAGTGTCATCCATGAGAGAGAGAGAGAGAGAGAGAGAGAGAGAGAGAGAGAGAGAGAGAGAGAGAGAGAGAGAGAGAGAGAGAGAGAGAGAGAGAGAGGCTACGGGAGTTGAGCTCCCTGAAGGCATTTGGAGTTGAGGCAGAGAGAGAGGTGGAGTGGCCGAAGATGCGGTCCTCGCCGCGGAATGTGTGATGTTTGCGGTTGCAATTCTTAGTTGAGAGTGTTTTCAAGGTTAACCGAGAACTGTTCGTGTGCGTCGATCGCAGTCGAGTCGTTCCATGTGTTTCCGGATCGTATACATCTTGCGGCAGAATTTGTTCATAATGTGTCAGAAGCGTTTTCGTTTTTTTTTTTTTTTTTAACAAACAACTGGGGAGCACTTTATTATAGAAAATCAAATGAGGCCGGGAGTTCCTCAACAAACAACTGGGACCATTACCAATCTTAGGTGTAGGCATTGGGATTTGTCCAGCAACAGAATGGCCAAAACAAGACTGCTGTCCTGACTGTTCCCAAACCCTAGTAAAAAAAAATATACCACAAGGCCTCAAAGCCACACAAGTCAAAATTAAAAAAGAAACGAGCTACCTATTACAAGGAACAAGCTACCTACTGAAAATATATCCACAAAGTCAAAAAAGAACCTCACAAACCAAAACACCAAGGGAATACCCGTCCTAACCCTACCACAGTCGTAGTTCAGAATAATAACTTTCCACTAGGTACAGACTAAATCTTACTAAAGTGCTAACACCGGTCTACTATGCCCCCACCGAGCCCTACCCAAACCGTTACTACCACTACAATCTACTACCGCGCCCAGAGGGGGGTGGAGAATAGATACCACCTAATGCAGCGTTACGGACCTTGTCCAATGAGTGTATCAGCAGCACTCCCTCCGCAGACAATCCCCCAGCCTGTCTCCTGTGACCATGAACCAAGTGCTCAGGTATCTACTCATTCAACCACTAAAAAGCCACTCGCCCAACTCTAATGTATCTTCCGCCCCGATGGTGGCAAAAGAGCTATGCAAAGACCAAGTTTTCCAGAACTCATTGCAACCCACCTGGCTTGTTACTCACCATCGCTACCTTTCGTCTCCAAGTCTGCCTGAACTGCTCTTCTCAGGCTCTGCTTAATGTTGTTCCTTATCTGCTTGTTTGACCAATCCTTGTCCTCAAAGACTCGATCATTTCGACCTTGCCAAATTGTTGACGTGATAGCAGCTCTTGCCACTCGTACAAGGATGTTAAGCCCTCGGCATACCTGCATGTGGCCCCTACAGCAAGCATGTGCCCGCCCTAAGTGAATGCAGGCCCCCAAATCTCAATGAGGCCTGAATTTGTCAATTTTGCAAAGCCTTGGTGGACGCCAGACAGTTCCCACGCGCCAGTTGGTTACATGCGCCCTGCTCGTGAAAATCAGAAACATTTGTGAGCCCTATAGGCTCTTCTGACAACGCAGTGGAAGCAGGGAACACCTCATGTTTGCGCTTGGGTGGTTGGGCAGGCATAACTAATTGGGTCCCAGGCCACTGTCTGAATGGGCCTGGCACATACACTTTGGCCCAACATGAAGCGACTGGGCACACGCGAGGCCAGGCCACTTCGCATATATCACAGTGCCTGGCTGTGAGTCCGGCATGCGGGCTCTTGCGAGTTTGAGCGGCAGCGCTGCTGGATGGCGCACTGAAGGTCGCTGGCAAGCAGCGCTCGTGCGCACGCGAGCGCAGGCTGAAGTAAGAACGCTGCTAGTGAGCAGCACCATAGCCCAGGCAGCCATAGCCGAGCCTGGGCAGACATAGCTGGCGGGGTTTGGCAGTGGTCTTTGGATGGTGATGAGACATGGGAGGTGAGACAAGGAGGGGCATAGAGGTGGCGAAGGGAGAGATGATGTGAGAGCACGTACGTGGTCCTGGCGGAGGTCTGCAAGGTTGAGATCTGCATGCACTTCGGTTGCTGCTGCTGATGTCAACCGGTTGCTTTGGCACTCAGTAGGCTAGTGTCGTAGCTGTATGATCGTAGTCTGGGCGCTGAGTGCCAGTAGGAGGAAGAGCTTCAGAATCATTGCTCATTGGCAATTGAGTTCGCTGCTTTGGTTCTCCTTCAGTGTGATACCAGTGCATTTCTGCTTTCTGGACAACTTACGACTATCTGCCTTTCAATGTGATTTAGCAATTTGGAATTCTCAGTTCTGTCATTTCGCTATTGCTCATTTTCCTTGCAATTTGGTATCAGAGCTGGTTCGAGCTGCTCCGCTGGCTCCAGAGCATTGGTCTGGCGGTGCTGTGCCGGGTAGCCGTACAGCAGTGGACGGTCCATGGCGCTGGTATAAGAGGCGGCCCTGTGTCGAGACGGCGCACCGGGAAGGCTATGTGGGGTGACGTAGGGGTGCACGCTGGATGATGAGAGCTTGCTGAAGTGGCATTGAAGCCACCACTACCCCCGCCGTCCTAAGGTCGGGGAACCGGTAGCACGGGTTGAAGAGGGCTACCGGTAGCACAGTGGGGAGAACCAGGGGAGTGGCGAAAATGGAAAATGCGTCGAATTGCCGCTGCGATTTATTTCGCTGTTTAGAGAACTTCAGACAATTTTTATTTATTTTTTAATATTTTCCCTGGAAAGATCACGACCGAATCTACAGACCCATCAGTTTTCAGATTTCTTAACACATTCTTTTGATCGTGAAAAATCGCTGAAGTTGAGGTACTTTTTCCGTTGGCCTACAAATGGTAAAGCTGCAAAAATGGAAAATGAGATGAATCGGCGCAGCATTTATTTCACGGTCTAAAATATATATTTTTTAGTTTTAAAATATTTTTCCTGGAAAGACCACGACGAAATCCACAGACCCTGCGATTTTCAGAGTTTTTGAGTAATTTTTTTTAGCGCAAAAAAATGTGGAAGTTGGGGTACTTTTTCTGCTGGCCCTCATGTCGTAGAGCGCCAAAAATGGAAAATGTGAGGAATCAGCGCGGCATTTATATCACGGTCCAAAGTTTTTTTTTTTCCCTGTTTTTTTTCCTGGAAAAATCACAATCTAATCTACACGATCTCAAATTTTCAGATTTTTTCATTAATTCTTCCGAGCGCGAAAAATCGCCAAAGTTGGCACTTGAAAATTGAGGGACTGGACCCGCCTGCACCTGCTGGTCGCTGCCCTGCCATTTTCTGCGGCCCTAA